TTAGCCGGCACCAGGCCACCTTAATTGCCTTCTCAGTGAAGGGCAACAGACAGTTAGCATCTGGGCCCTTAAGTGAAATGATTCAGAATAATTCAACCTGTCAGGAAGCACATGCCCATCCTCTTAAATTCAAGGCTGTGTAAATGAACTGGAGGGCCAGGCAGTAAAGTCATAAATGTGCTGAAAACTGATGGTTAGTGCGAGCAGAGGATGGGTTGGGCTTTGGGAAATGGTGATTTGTTTGTGACATGAAGGCACTTTGAACAGTTTTATGGTGGACAGTGTTTTCCTTATTGTGGGTGATCTGCGTACGCATGTGGGAAAGTGTGTTAGGCGAGGTGGGTGTGTCATGTGTCATGTGGGAGGCTGCTGGTGAAGAAAATGGAGCAGAAAATTCACCTGACAATTTTTTTTTTTCTAAGAATGGAGCTGCCGCCATTCGAAACACAGCTATTAGGTGTTTGATCAGTCTATTGATCCAGTCTTTAAAACCAACGTCTACAGCGTCCAGTCTTCGGATATTTGATCTGAATGTTTGCAATGAACTGACGACACTTTTCCTGTGTTGTTAAATGAACGTGACAGTAGCGCAGCTTTTATTTACCAGTCTGATTTTGTTTTTCCTTTCAGGCCGTTTCTGTTTGCACTGTCTCGCGTCATTTTCTCCGGTAGCGCTTCCATTTCTGTTATTGGTATTAATGCAGCACCATTACCTATTCTAGCGCTCACTGTGTTGTAGTTGTGTTGCCAAAATTAACTGCTTGACAAATTTTAAATACTTCAGTTACACTCTGATGTTTTTCTGAGATATTTCCTGGAAAGAATAGTTTAAAATGGTTCCAATTATTGGGAAAATCCGGGCATCACAGATCATGTCTACATTAAGAAATGGAAATTTAACACAGCTGTGCAAAAATGGAGAGTTAAGCACTGAAAAGTTCAGTGCTTAACTCTCCAGTTAAGCACTGTCTACCAGGAAGAAACCTGCTGCGAGAGCCAAGAAGGCAACAAAGAAGGTAACAAAGAAGGTAACAACGAAGGCAACAACGAAGGCTAAAGTGCTTAAAATCAAAACCAGTGCTTAACTCTCCAGTTAAGCACTGGAGTAAAGAGTTTATCTGTGTTTAAAATGAACCTTTCTTTCACAGAAAGAACTATTGCTGTGTAATTTGCACCTGGTGCAGTAATCGTGTCCTAGAAAGTAACTTCTTTTTGTCTCACATGGGAGGGTTTTTTTTTTTTTTTTAGTGTTATTTTCAGACAATTTCTGCTCTTATCTGAGCAGATCTTACTCACAGAACATCTGTTAAAAACAGCTCACCCGAGATCATCTGGTGACTCATAAAAAGGCCGTGAATGACACAAACACATCCATCTGAAGACTTTACTACAGCGCCGGGTGAGGTTTATTATTTTAGGCAGGCTGTTTACCAGGTTATTTTATCAGAGTCAAAGTTCCCCTCATTATTGCGGCTTTTAAGCTGCCAGCAGCGTCAGTTGATCAAACAGTGTGGCAAAACTAAACAAAGCCATTAAAGCATAAAAGAACCAAACAGACATGAAAACATGCACTTTCACGTGTGAATTTTGGATGATTATATGATGGCGGATATGGTTTGAAGAGTGAATCTTTATTTTACTCAAAAGACTGTTTAAGCCACAATTTAGAGATGATAATTCAATCATTTCTTGCTGGATTATGATACACAAAAATGCAAATTAACGACACAAAAAGGAGGTCATGAGAATAATTTTACAAGAGGAGTGAGTTTGTTTTTTTTCTTTGGGATTACTTTGTGAAGGGAACTGTGCCCAAACTTTTACTGAGAGTGTGAGTAGAGTTTTGTGTGTCCATTGCTTGTTTATGACTGCAGGATTAAACAAATCAAACTTAAAATAACTATTAGATTTTTTCCCCTAAAAAACATTCAGACCATCTTCTCACTGAGCCAGCAGCTGCAGGTTGCTCCTCCCACTGGAGTTTGCCAGCGGGACCACGAGCGTCGAGTTTTTATTGTCAGTGCTGGAGGTTGATGTGAGGCGAGCGCGAGTGTTCAGGCTTCGTTGTTCCAGAGACAGAGCTTCCTGTTTTCTGGAAAGATCCTGCAGCATGCGGGAGTGATGCAGCTTCATTTTCTGCAGAGAGTGCCTGAGAGAGAATTACAGCAGCACGCAGGCATGAATATCAGCTCCGGTGGCATGCATGCTCGAGAAGTTCTTCTGAATTTGGTTTTATGGTTTATCATTACTTTAAAACAAATCCAACAAATCCATAAAATGTAATTCTCTTTATATTCAAGACAGATATATTATTTATATTTTTTATAGTCCTATGTTATTTCAGCGATAACTCTATAAATTGTCTGTTTCTCTTCCATTAGAATCTCCCAATCTAATAAAAAGCCACATATTCTATAATTCGACCTAATATTTATTTAACTGGACAAACTTGAGATGTGATGATGCCACACATAGTATGATTTCAATAAGATCTCATATTGGTGATGGGAGAGTTGGACCCTTCTGTCTCCTTCTGATTCTCAAGGTCTGGACATTGTCATCTTGGAACTTACCCGTGCCATCAGGGAAGAAATTGGTGGAAAAAGCTGCTCATTCACTACACTCGGATAGTAAGCTGACCTAATTTTAACGTTTAACGTCATTCAGTTACAACCTGCTGAACTGAAGCAACCTCCAGTCATAACACTTCCTTTACAGGGTTATGCAGTAGGCACCAGGCTTGATGAGTGCATCACTTCATCCACCTCTCTGATGCTCCAACACTCCCAAACAGGGTTGAGAGTATATTACACAAACACATATATGTTTTGTGTAATATATACAATACTTATATATTATTATTATTGTTACTACTACTTAGTTTGGCCACACAAATAAAAATGAAGACTCACTGAGCTTCAGAGAGCTTCTGCTTCAGAGCTGCGATCGTGGCCTCCAGTTGCTGGACTTCATTAACGAGGCCGTGCTGCACCTGCAAACCATCACGATAAAAGGAGAAAAGACTTCTAATGCAATCAGTGACACATCTGCTGCTATATACCTGATATATACCTCGTCTCTGCACAGGTCCATGTTAGGCCTGTTGGTCCTGGTCTCCAGTCTGGTGTGAGCAAGCTTCAGGTTGGCTGTCTTCGCCTGCAGATCTGCATCCAGCCCGTGGATGTCACTTTCCATTTCTGCCATTTCCTCCTCAGTCTACAGACGGATGTACAGGCAGTGTGAACATGCGATGACAAACTATACTCCCTCACCCTGCTGCTAACAGCTATTATTTATAAGATCTTACAGTTTTTATTTGCCACTCCAGCTCATGTCGGGCCTGCTCTTCGTGGTGATTACGTTTGCGGAGAGCAAACTCTGTGGCTCTGCGCTGAGTCTCCAACTCATTCTGCAGCTACGAAATAAAAAGAAAGAAAGAAATTAACAGCAAATATGCCCCACCTACTCTAAGCAAGATTAGTGCACATATAAGAAAACCAAAATAAAAATAAATTAATCAAATTAAAGAAATCCTTTAACCGTCTGCAGCGCCCCCTGGTGTTCAAACACCGACATGTGAAACAATTTTCTTATTAACCTGTAAGTAAAACCTTTATCCCAAAGATTAAAACTGCCTAGAATATCAATGATTTTTAAATTAAATGTGACATCAGAAGATTTTTTTAACAAAATAAAAATAATAATACACGCATTTAATACACAAAGCGCATCTTTGTGATTAATAAATGTGGTAACTACGTATCTCCTTTTTAATTTAAGCTTTTAAACATGGATCTGTGATGTGTGCGTGAAAAGCTTTTAATCATTAAATAAACATTTGTCAAATCTGGAGAACACAGACTGAGCACAGAGAGAGGGTTGCACCAATATTTGTGCACAGTTTAATGAATATTAAAGTCATTAGGTGGTTATCTTTTTTTGTTTTTTTTAATTAAATAAAATACTTGACTAGTACTTGGTCGTATAATAAGCAATATTCAAGAACTCCTACTAGTTGCAACCCACCTACCTGTGCTCGGGTGAGGTTCATATCCTCCCTTATTTGCTGGGAAACCTGCATCGCCTCATGGGCACGAGCCACATTATGCTGGCTGAACTGGACCCACTCCTGGGGGGTGGAGGAACTACACCAAAGACAGCAGTTATAACAGTAGGAGCTGCTATGAATGATACAGTTTATATAGACAGCGGTAACCAAGCATCACAAAAACGCATAATACACAATATTACAGTGACACTCAGTAGTAGGGATGCAACGATACCAAGTTTTTCAAACCGATACGATACC